ATCTCCATGCCATTTATCCCACCTACTGACCCTGTACTTGAGGACAATCTGTCGTCCCTAGCTTCGGCCTCCGACAAGATCCACAAGACCACCCTACTAATACCAAATCTCCATGCCATTTATCCCACCTACTGACCCTGTACTTGAGGACAATCTGTCGTCCCTAGCTTCGGCCTCCGACAAGATCCACAAGACCACCCCACTAATATCAAATCTCCATGCCATTTATCCCACCTACTGACCCTGTACTTGAGGACAATCTGTCGTCCCTAGCTTCGGCCTCCGACAAGATCCACAAGACCACCCTACTAATACCAAAGCCTCATCATCTCATCATCCAAAAAAAAACTTAGGTCCGCCATGTTTCCTTCCCGTCATGCTAAGAAAATTACATTGAACTTCAATTGCAAGTGCTAAACACAATCAGCGTATATTACGCCAAAGCCATCGCCTCTATACACTCCTGCCAAAATGAACGCACAACCAGGTAGGCTTTCAGTTACTGCTCTTTCCAAACATACCGCTAGGCGTCGTCCTTACACTGTGGCCCGGTGACAGGTCCCACAATGCACTTCACTCAACTTTGGCCTGCCCCACTGCATGACGGGAAACAAAATGGCGGCGCCCATAAAATCGAGGTAACGTAGAACAGGTTCCGCTATCGCGAACCTGTAATTATGACATTTAGTATGTTGATAGGTCTTTTGCTCAAGGGTCTCTGTACCGGTTTGCTATCCTGTACCAGGCTTCGGGAGGCGGATGGAAAGAGAAGAAATTGGCCAAATAGATTTTTTTTATTGAAATACCTTTATTGTACATTCATGCCACGACAGGCTTGGTACAGGTCAAGACTTAACAGACACATAACAAACGTATGTAGAAAAGTGGATGTATATAGAGAGGTAACATATGCCGGGGAGTTGGTCCGCTAGAGAGTACAGATTGAGTCTTGACTCGAGATTGACTCGGGTGCGGCAAACTGTACTCTCTAGCGGACCAACTCCCCCAACATATGTTATCTCTCTCTATTTGGCCAATTTACTTTCCAGCCGTCTCCCGAAGCCTGGTTTGCCTTGTTTGGACCTGAGTCGAGACTTACCCGTAGAACAGCACGTCCCGCTGTACCCTGGGTGACAGGAGCAGCGCGACCCTGCAGGCGTGCCGCCGTTGTGACAGAACCGGTTACAGGGCTGGGACTCGCTGCTGGGTCCGCTACACCCAGATCCTCCGTTGGCAGCGTGCTGGGCGATACTCCTGCAGGTGACAACGGCATCATTAGCCTCCCGATCGCGAGAAGAGTTCTAGTAGGACCAGGGGTGCCTAAGAATTCATCAGAATTTTACGGAATTCATACAATCCTTACTAGAAACATACGAAGTTTAAGGAATACATGCTATCCATTACGCGGAAACATACGATCCTTAATAATTTGGGGTCATTTGGTGACTTGCCGCAGCGATCACCAGTTCCACCGATTTCCAGCATCGCCCTGCTATTTGGTCTAAAATACAGGCTACTATGTCGTGAAAGAAGTCCGCATAAGTGCAGTCTGGGATTTAGCAGGGCAGGATAAGCCCTAAAACTTCTTTGAAACCAAGATATTGTAGGGAGAACATCGCTATAGTAGTCCGCCATCATCACCAAATTAGTAAGGATCGTATGTATTCCGCGTAATGGATCGTATGTATTCCGTAAAATTCGTATGTTTCTAGTAATTGATCGCATGCATTCCGTAAACTTCGTGTGTTTCTAGTAAGGATTCTATGTATTCCATAAACTTCGTATGTTTCCTAGTAAGGATCGTATGGATTTCGTAAAATTCTGATAAATTCTTTGACACCCCTGAGGACAGCGTTTCAGTCTCCCTGCACCCCAGTATTTGGATTGTACGACCGGCTGGACCAGCGGTTTCTTTTCTACCTTGTTCGGAGGGGGGGG